CTGTGGTTTCGCCTGTAGTACAGATTGAAACTGAATTTGTGTTTTGAGCCTTGAAACGTAGACAGAAGGATGAACTCATGTTTAGATGCACTGTGTAGTGTTAGAGAAAGGTTCATGGTCCAGGCAACCATGTGACTACCATGTGACATATTTTGATAATTGATTAATGATTTGAGTCATTTTTCAAGCAAAAACAGCAACCATTTCTTTGTTCCTGCTCCTCCAGTGTGTGGATTTTCTGCTTTTCTCTGTATGACTGAATGTTTTTGGGGTTTTGGACTGTTGGTTAGACAAAACAAGACATTTGAAGATGGGACCTTTTATTTTTTTTGGAAACTTTAATGGGCATTTTTCTGCCATTTTCTAGACAAAACAACTGATCGATTTAATCTTGAAAATAATCATTAGTTGCAGTCCTACACGGGACTATATATCTACTTCTGCGCCTGCCTGAACTTCCACGAGGCCCCATTGAAGCATTAGCTGGTGTTTGTTATTTATTTACTGGGTATATTAAGCCCAAAACATTATTGTAGCTATTCCTTAATTCCCTTAATCTTGAAAGCACCATTCACTGTTTTCCCAGAAGGTCCCAGCATTATGTTGAGGTTTTTCTTTACTTTGATGCACCTTGTGCTTTCTGTCTGGTACCAACATTACACCACCTTTTTATGACAGTAAATAATGCCCTCAAAGCTATTTTAACAATAGTGAGTGTACTAAACAAAAACCTTTTTGTAAAAAAAAAAAAAAAAAGGTACAAACCAGGAAAAAACAAGCTCTCTCTTCACCACAAGAGTTGGCATAGCAACCAGTAACAAGTGAGGCAGGTGTGTGTTGGATTATTACAGTTTGACAGCTTCTTCTTTATGTCCCCTTATGTCTACTCTCTTCTCTCTGTTGCAGTTTGTCCTGCAGGGATGTGTTCCAGTCGGGGTATATGCGGCGGCAACAACCGTCCCAACAGATCCTCCAGCTCGGAGGGCAGCGGTTCAGGCGCTCACTATGCTCTGTGCGCCCTGGGAGTGGGTCTTATCGCCCTGGGTATCGTCATGATTGTGTGGACTGTGATACCGATGGACGGAGAGTCCTCCGGCGGGTCCACCACATCGTCAGGTAACTCCACCATAGCGACCCCGAGCGAAGAGGGTGATAGGGAGGACAGCACAAAGTCTTCAACAGTGGCTATGGTTCTGGTTGGAGTTGGGGCAGCCATGTTGCTTTTATCCATTTGCCTCGGCGTGAGGAGCAAGAGGAACGCACGCAACAGAAGCAATCAGCCAGTAACAGCAACAGGAGCCCTCCTCATGGACCATGTGGCAGGGCAGCAGGAAGAACCGTGAGTAATCGTCTCTGTTTTATAATTTTTTCTTAGATGTTGTAATTTCCAGTTTAACTTAAATCTGAAATATTTGGAAACAATAATGCCTTAAGGGATTTAAAATTCTTCAAACAGGAATATTTAAAGCCGCTTTGATTAGGATTTGAAATTCCTTACATGTATCCGACCTGATGGGATGCCCAATAGATAGAGTGGCAAAAAAAAAAGGTTATTGCAGGTTTGATGATTTTCTAACACGTCTTGTTTTCACTGACTTGTTGCATCTTTTTGCAGAGCTGCAGACCCAACCACGTTCAACGTGCCGAGCTACGAGGAGGTCGTCGGCAGTGGCGACTACCCCGTCCGCCGTAGCAACCTTCGTGATAGCACTTCCCAGCTGCCATCCTACGAAGACATCATTGCTGCCGTGGAAAACGAGGGAAGAGAGCCCACTAACAACCCCACCGAGGGCACCCCTCTCAACGATCCCACACCAGCTCCACCTCAACCTGCCGCCGAGCCCCAGGCCGAACCGCCCGGCCTCACATCCAACCCGAGCCTGCCCACCCGCAGCAGCAGCCGGGCCAGCCGTTTACTGCGGCCTCTTCGGGTGAGGAGGATCAAGTCAGACAAACTGCACCTGAAGGACTTCCGCATCCAAATCCGCAGCCCCACACAGAATCCAGTGACCATTGAACCCATTACGCCACCACCACAGTATGACAATAAGATGCCTGAATTAGGGTAGTGTCTCTCACTTACTGCCTGTTCCCAATGAATAAAAATATCTGTGTTAAATGGACTAATGATAACACTTTTGAGAACCCACTTTCAAGGTTGGTATAAATTAGGTTAAATGTGGCTGCGAGCGGCGTGATGGAGGCCATGCAGACACACTCCTGACATAAGAATATTTCAAGTGAATCTATTGCTCTTTATTACTGAAGCTTGTGATTTGCATATTTATTCTGTTATAATGCATAATTGAGTTTGTGTGAAAGAAAGAGATTTAGTTTTAAACATCATGCCATAACTTATATTAAACACGAGACAGCCTGCCAGTTTTATTTAATAGCCAGTTTTGTGCCATAATGGACAATCTCTTTAATGTTTTTCACTTTACCAGGAATAATAATAATTAATGTTGCTGTAAGTCGATTAGTTGTATAATTAATTGTGGAAAGATTTAAACCATATGTTGTGTTAAAGGGGGGAAACAAATTACTTGGGAGATTTTAAAGTGGTATTACGTATCATAATATAATATCAAAAAGTCATTAGACCTGCAACAAACTTTTTCTGATTTGTAACTGAAGAAAATGCACTGAGGCCAAAATATAGGACCATTGGCTATTTGTTTTTGAATGCTTTTTGTAAGTTGTTTTTAAATCTATTGTCTTAAACAAAGTGCTTCTTGAATATGGAAATGGCATGTGTATGTCATGTGTCAATTATAATCCATAACAGTAAAACCAGAAGTAAACTGTTGGGTATAATGGTATGGGATGTGACAATTAAACATGCTTTGCTTCATAAGATTTTTAAAGGTGTTTAGATGTTTGTAATATTTGTAAAAAAAAAAAATAGAAAAAATGGTGAATAAATGTTTTTGGATTTTATATTTTTGTTGCATAAATGTCACTGAATATGAGTCTAGTGTTTATTCCGCAGACATCATCCTATAGATGCCAAAATCAGTAAAAGCAGGTTGAGCTACTAAATACAAACTAAAGCCCTGCTGTTGCCACTCAGACACACAATTAAGTTATTGATCCATTTTTTGATGATTTGCCTTGATTACATGCTTTGATCGAGCTGTATTTATTTTAAGAGAGAAATATTATGTTTGTACTTGCAGTTAATAAAATCCAACTGTAGATGTTTGTTATTACTTTATTTTTGTGACCCTGGCAGACTCTGACTTCCCTCTTTATTAATGTTCATTGGTTAATATATAGCGCCCTCCAGTGGTTAGAAAAAGGTAACAAAACAACTAAACATGGATAATTCAAACCTGTACAAATACCTTAATGTTATTTCATCTGAACAGGTTATATATGAAGAATTTATAAGCACAAGAAAATAGTTGTGCAGAGTGTAAAATAACTGCTGTTATATGAGTGGGGGTTGAAGTATATTAATGAGCCTTTAGATTAATTTCAGACTCACTATCGAGTTGTATTATATTGGCTTTAGGTGTGATATTAATGTGGAGTTTATAGTTTTTGAGAGGGACTTTTAACCCTTGTATGCATAGATCATTGGACTCGTATTATTAATATATGAGAATATTATATTAATATTAATCATTTTACACTCTTCATACTTTTTTCTAAATGTTTGAATTTCAAACAAGAACTTTTTACACAATTATTAAAAACACAATACAACAATATATAAATGACTTTTGAGATGAGTTAGCAGTTTACACACCACGTTTTTACTTATTAACTTATTTTAACTGTTTAACAGCTTTAATTTATTGTGAATCTATTTTTCCTAAGGTAAGAAAGAAATAATCACATTCATCAAGTTTGAAGCTCTTATGAATGTACATAGGAAATTTATATGGGTCCATTTTGATCCACATACGGGAAGTTGCTGTTTTTTGAGAGTAAATAAAATAATATCAGAAACAAGATTTTATAGGAAATGCTGAAATATTTGTACTCTATGGATCCATATAAATAATCTTAGTGCAAAAAGGTTATCTATAGTATGTAAAGCCAATTTAGTTAATGTAAGAACAAAACTTTATTCCTCTGACAGTTTGATCCGGATTTGGGTCAATGCTTATTAAGATTGTGGTAAAAGTAAAATTTAAAGTAAATGTTCTGTATTGAAAGAGTTACTTAGGAAAAATGTTATCAGCAAAATGTATTTATAATAATAAAAGTAAAAGTATTCAGTGCAGGAAATCCCCCTGTGAGTGATTCACTATTACACATTATAATATTGGGCCATCTAAGCGATCGTTATTGTGTAAGTGGTACTTTACTGCTGTAGTTAGTCGAGGGGGAGCTAATTTGACTGATATACTATGGGGTAATTTAATCTATAGATTTTAACTGTATTTAATAATTGATCATTTGTTGTATGTTGACTCTTAATCTGTAACTTGTAACTAAAGTTGTGTGAATAAAAAAAAATTCCCTCTGAAATGTAAAGCACAGCATAAAGTGGAAATACTCGAGTAAAGTAGCCTAAAAGTACCTAAAATATGTACTTAAGTACAGTACTTGACTATTCATGTACTTAGTCACCTTCCAACGCCGCATGATTCTTCTTTTCCAGGTTGACCTTCATTAACACACATACAGTATAAATATACAGTATAATCTATTCTAGAGCATCTAATTTTAAATTTACATTTTTAAAAAAAGTTTCTAAAGACAGATAAAAAAAATGCTCCTCAAACATTTGAAGCGCTAAAGTTTATTCTTATATTCCCAATATCAACTGTATTCATCCTTGCTCCACCCTCCTCTCCTCTCGGCTCAGAAGGATTTTTTCCCCCTTTTTCTTTTTTTAATGTGCAGCTGCCATGTAGCAGAGGGAGGAACAGCTGGCTGTGGGAAGAGCCAGCCCGGGGAGTCAGTCACATTCCTGGCTGGGATTCAATGACTGAACCAGACACAAACAAACAGAGAGGGCGAGAGAGAGAGAGAGAGAGAGAGAGAGAGAGAGAGAGAGAGAGAGAGACTCACACATTGAGTGAGAGGGGAGACAGACTGAGAGTACGCCAGACTGAGCAGACGAGGCATATTTCGAGCGCCCATTAGGAGTGCGTAAAACCGCAGGAGCGCATAGAAACACAGTACCCAGTGATTGTGCGTTGGATAATACGAGTTTTGAGTCTAGGAGTTGTCGACTTTAATTGCGTCTGTCTACAGGAACAGCCCCCGTGAATTCAGCAGCCTTCAGTTTTCTGAATGGACGCGCTGGGAAGCTTCTCCGGTGACATGGAAATGCGCGTTATTGAGCTTGTAGCCGGATGCTGAGGACGCCCGATCCAATAAGTCAATTTCAGCTTTCATTTTGAGTTTTGAAATCTCTTTTCTAACCGGCAACAACATGGAGGGCACGAGCTTCCAGCCGCATCCCGGACTTCAGCAAACTCTGAAGCAGTTTCATCTGAGTTCCATGCGCTCGCTCGGCGGACCGGCGGCGTTCTCCGCTCGGTGGCACCAGGACTCACTCTTCGGCAAAGATGGGAAATCGGCGGAGATGATGCTCACCCTGCCGACTCAGACACCTCCGGTAATGTCCGGTCCACTTTTCATCCCGTCCGACCGCTCCACGGAGAGGTGCGAGACGGTCTTGGAGCGGGAGCCCATCTCCTGCTTCGTGGTCGGCGGCGAGAAGCGTCTCTGCCTGCCGCAGATCCTCAACAGCGTCCTGAGGGATTTTTCCCTCCAGCAGATCAACTCGGTGTGCGACGACCTACACATCTACTGCTCCCGCTGCACGGCGGACCAGCTGGAGATCCTCAAAGTGGTGGGCATCCTGCCCTTCTCGGCTCCGTCCTGCGGGCTGATCACTCAGACGGATGCTGAGCGCCTCTGCAACGCTCTCATCTACGGCGGAACTTATCCTCCCCACTGCAACAAGGAGTTAGGCTCCCTGGAGTTGGAGCGAACCGAGAAGAGCTTCAAAGTCTATCATGAATGTTTCGGTCGGTGTAAAGGCTTGTTTGTCCCGGAACTGTACGCCGGTCCGAGCGCCGCCTGTATCCAGTGCATGGACTGCAGACTCATGTTCCCACCTCACAAGTTTGTGGTCCACAGTCACAAGAGACTCGAGAACCGGACTGTCCACTGGGGGTTCGACTCCGCCAACTGGCGGGCTTATGTGCTCTTAGACCCGGACTACACTGGGAAAGAGGAGAAGAGTCACCTGGAACAACTGCTTAAAGAGTTAAAAGGAAAATATGATCTGACGGGCAAGCGGTCCAGTATACCGTGCAGAGTAAGTCTGTTCTGTTTCACCTTGTTATTAACCATCACTTATATTGTCTTTGAGGTGTTCTGTTTGTTACTGTGGATATTTCAACAGCCTCGGGCCTACTACATCATCTGCATTCATTATCACTAATTTTCAGGAGGCTTCCTTCTCATTAGGCCTGCCACTGTCTCCTTTGATTGATCGTTTGTATCTTTTCCAAGTGTCGCCAGTCTTATTAGCCCCCCCAACAGAGGCATGATGCAAATGCACATCACATCTTTCTATGGCTGTCCTGTGAAACACCTCATATAGAGCCTCACTCACTCCATCTATATCTAAAAAAGGTGACAGTGAAGCCTCCAACCATCACCTGACACCCCTGAGCATCCCTCTCATCCTCTAAACCCCGCTCCCCTCCCGACCCCCCAGGGTTACCCAAGGGCATCTGCATTATGATAAATGGAGTCCCGATGATATATTTTATTAGTGTGAGAGGGGAGAGGGGGGCAGGGGAGCCTATTATGGTGCCACGAGGTGGGGAAGGGGATAAGAGTTTAATGAGGTTTGGGATATGGAAATGTGTGTGTGTGAGAGAAAGAGGGGGGGGATTTGTGGCTGGTCAGGATAAGGTATGAGTGTGTTTGTGTGTGTCGCTGTCCAGGCTCCTTGCGTGGGTCAGAGATGTTTAGTATGGACAAAGGGCCAGGAGACGAGGTGGCTGTTCCTTCGTCACAGAGCAGCTGTTGTGTGGGACTCTGCTAATGAGTGGACATCTCTGTATGCATCACCATGGTGCTGCTCCAGTCTGAGCAGGAGCCAGGAGATGTCTCACAGGGAAACCTCAGTGCTCTCTTTAAAGAAAATACACTCAAGAAATCATTGTTGGCTTACAGAAACATGTCTATAATAACAACAGGAGGAAGGTTATCAGTGATGGATAAAGGTGATGTTTTGGTTCTCAATTTAGAAATATTCATCCTGAATTCAGCACACAGGCATCCACAGATGATTTATATTGTGTTTTCCCACAAATTGAACACAGACTCCTGACAAGATCGTTGTACAGTCAAGAAATATGTCTATACATAAAAAAAGAGAGAAAAAGTCTTGCACCTGTGGTAAATTTCTTCCTAACTGCAGTCAGCAGGTCTTGATGTATTACCTGTGAGTTATATATTTTCTTAAAATGGTGAGTCCTGCGCTGACAGTCTTCCAGTGTGTGTGATATACTCAGGGCAGGGCTGAGCATCATGGAGGCAGCGTGGTGGCGGAGGGGGCAGTGCGTGTTTGCGGTGGTTCACTGTCATTCGTGTCCCAGTTAGCAGACAGGCCTGGTCCTCGGGGAGCTGCACACCAGCGCTCACCCATACATCAGCCTGACAGGCCAAGCTGCTGAAAGGCCGGACGGGGGCTCACAGGCCGCGCTTGGCTCGGCTTACCCATGAAACAAAAACTCAATGTTATCGGTGCGCCTCAGCCTCCCTCTGATGTCAGAGTGTTTTATTAATAAGAGAGAGCCTCGAAGGTTACCTCCTCTGCCTGTATCATCTGTCTAGACTCCCACCTCATCCGCTGTACGTGTGGTGGTTGGTGCAGATACGGCACTGCTGGAAGCCACTGCTGAGAAGATAATTGCTGATGTGGTTTTTTTTTGTGGAATAGTTGTGAAAGTGCAGCTTACCTGAAGAGATTTATGTGTGATTTAGGGTTACTCCAGATTTGTATTGATAGTCTGTGAATGAAATTTTTGGAAAACAAAAACAGCTTCCTCACTAAAGCAGAAGCCGGAATCAGAGGGAATGATACCGGTGAACCATTGTGTCTGTTTTGCATCAAATCCAGCATTTGGCCATTTAGCTCTTTGCCTAATGTGCAGATGAGGGCAGATTGCTGTGAGGAGGCTGCAGACTCTCTCATTCAGAAGATGCAGGGTGTGTGTGAGCCAGGCCTTGACATGTGTTGTCAAAGGGCCGTAACCCCTGACCTTTACCCAAAGACACTGACCCAGCCTTCCCCCATTCTTTTCACACCATCCAATCACATGTCCTTGTGTCCAGTCCACTGGCCAGATGGCTGTCAGATAAAGGACGGAGGGATATACAGTGGACCGATAACAAACATTTCTCTCGACTGCAGCTTCTAATGAAACATCACCATTTTGTGATTCTCACAGTGCTTTTCATTTCAGATCCCGCATGATTATTTTGCTGACACACTGCCAAGAAATGTAAATTTCAGGGGAAACCTGAATTTTCAGTCTAATTCAAATGACTTTCATTGTGTTGAACCTTGCGTGTAATAATTCAAATGTTAACTTTTCTGATTAGCATGAAAATCTTCAAGAAAGAGGATTGGAATTGCAAAAAGTTTTTTTTTCTCCTTCAAAGTCAAATACTTCTGAGCATTAACTGTGAAAAAAAAATCCCTAAGAAGTGAGGGCAATGCGATCAATCATCTGACTGAGTGGAGAGTAAACGTGGGGTTGTGGAGAACGGTGTAGACTCTCCTTAATGGAATGGATATTAAAGCCATTCAACTGAGGCCAATTTATGCCATTTCTCATCCCATTGTTCTCCTCACTCGACGAAATTAGCCTCAGACCTGGAGCAAACCAATCAAGTGTGCGTCAATGAGCAAAGGGATGTGTGTTTTCAGTTATTAGCTGCTAATAAAAGCGAACAAATGCACAAATGAATGGATAATACCTTTCTCTATCAGGTTACTGTGTGTTTATCTGCACTTGTATGTGGGCGTCTTCATGTATGCGAGAGTGTTTGCATGTAAACAGTCGAGTGTAATGACTGGATCAGCTGTGCGGGGCCAGATTAAAATGAGCTCTCTGCCGGCTCATTTCCATTCCCATCTGTCTGCTGACCTCTGGGAAGCCCTGAAAGCTGACATCGTGCATCTCTTTGGTCCTTGATGCGCCTGTCTGCCCAGTGTTGACCCAGTCAGCTAAGACCTGACCTACCCAGATCACCCAGATACACATTGAGACAGTCGCATTTGGTTCAGATTTACCATGTTCTCAAATCTCACTGCTGGTGCAGCAGATTTATGTTTCTGGTATTTGTGTGTGATTTGCCTTCTGCTATTTATCCTCTTTTGGAAACATCAATCTTTTAAGAGCAGTCGCCTGAGTCCCAACCAACCCCCCCCCCACTGACCAGCCTCCCCCCCTCCCAGAAGACCATCACCTCTTCTTTGCAGTGACTGTTGGACGGAGTGTTTTGGCCAAAGCAGGGACGGCATGTCAAGGCAAAGGGGTGTCTGCAGCTCCCAGGGGTTGTGGCCTCCATTCTGGCAGGAGTGACCCCATGTTAAAAGGGTGTCAGCTGGGGTTCTGTCATGGGTGATGTGTGCTAAAGACCTGCCGCCTCTTTTGTTTGAGGGCCGGGCTTTCAGAGGCTGTGAAGTGCAGCCATTTCTCTTTGTTAGTGCCTTGTTTCTTTAGGTGCTGTGTGGATAGGTCTGTAACCTCCAGCCTCTCCCAGGGTGGGAAATCCACGCTTGTGAGTTTGCTGTGTCACTGGTTTCACTCTTTGTGTGCACAAAGACAGATTGGAGCCAGTAGTGGTGTCTGCATGTCTGATAGAGATAAGGCTGGGCGATAGTTCAGCATTAATGTTAATTGACTTTCAGCAGAATCATTTTGCAATTATCTTATCATGATATTCTCCCACAAACATCTGTTGTTCAAATTAATGATTATGGGCAAATTGTAATTAAAATTGAACAAAATTAGTTTATTTGTACTAACTAAACTGATTATTTTGTATGTGATTTTGAACACATTCATAATCATGCTCTAAATGCTATGTATCAGTATTAGAAAACATCCTTATTAATATTGGGCAACTCAATATATAGATAATGTGATATGTTTGCAGTAGGGCTGCACAGTTGATTGAAATATTATCAAAATATGACCAAGTGCAATATCCAAATCGCAGAAGCTACACATTTCTGATAAAGGTAAAATGTGTGACAGACAGCATTATAATGAAGTACTGTAGTGCTGTAGTTATGCCCAGGCCTACGTTTGTTTGGTACGGACCTCAACAACTGTCCCGTCATCATGGTATTAATCGTTTTCCATGAAAATGAAAATTGTGATCCAAAAATTAACATTACCGCTCATCGTGAACCACATCGTAATTGCAATATCGGTCAAAATAATCGCAATATGATTTTTTTTTATGATATCGTGCTGCTGTAGGTTGCAGAGATGGAAGAAGTACTCAGATCCTTTAACTTAAGTCACAATGTACAATTACTAGTAAAGTTCTGTATTCAGAATCTTAGTTTGGTAAAAGTATTAACATCAAAATACACTTAAAGTTCAAAGCAAAGGTACTTATAATACACACAATAAATAAACAATAAAATGCACACACACACTCTCACACATATACAGTATATATACACATGTATGCACGTTAGCGGGTTAAATATAAGAAAGCCTTTTAATAAATGCAGGTTTTTAGAAGCAATTTAGGAGGAAACTGATTTTGCGAGTCTGAGTTAGAGAAAATATGTTATGACTTTACTGAAAGCAACAATTTGAACTGAAAAATACAGCATTTCTGGAATATGAGACGATATCCAGTCTCACGTATTGCAACATTGTTATTATTCCAATTTACTGTATTGCCCGGCTTTCCGATCATCTCATGTGGACCATGTTCTGCTCCATTCCTTTCTAAATCTCGATGACACAGCACAGTGCTAATGTGTGAAAGACTTCTTGTATAACTCGTGGAGTGAGGGAGGAGGATGATTAGTGTTGATCAGTGATGATGAGATGAGGGAGGAGATGAGCACTGGCTGTGACTGCAGTCAACAAGCCAGCCAGTCAGTCGGTCCGTTTGTGGCAGAACAGATGCCCGTATTGGGTTAGTGTTATTCCACAATCATCATCAATTCCTCCTCGATCACCTCCTGATTTCCAGCTCTGTGATTAAGAGTCAGGCCCATCTGGTGCAGAGACAGGAAATCCTGGAGTCTGCATCTGCTGCTGGCTG